GAAGATCATTTAAAAGCGATTGCAGCAGAACATCAACGGGGAACTGCCAGAAATTCAAGTTGGATTCAGAAGAAGACGCGCAACAAGGGATATCATTTCTGATGTCAGGTGGATGCTGGCTGAAAGCAGAGAATACCAGAAAGATATTTAGCTGTGTTTTATTAACTATGCAAAGACATTCGACTATGTGGATCATAACAAATTATGGATAACATTGGGAAGAATGGTAATTCCAGAACGCTTAATTGTGCTCATTAGGAACCTGTACTTAGACCAAGAGGAAGTCATTTGAGCAGAACAAGGGGATACTGCATGGTTTAAAATCAGGGAAAGTGTGTGTCCCAGTTGTATCCTTTCACCATACTTATTCAATCCAAATGCTGAGTAAATAATCTGAGAAGCTGGACTATGTGAAGAAAAACTCAGCATCAGGATTGGAGGAAGACTCATTAACAACTGCGATATGCAGATGACACAGCCTTGCTTACTCAAAGTGAAGAGGACTTAAAGCATTTAGTGATGAAGATCAAAGACCACAGCCTTCAGTATGGATTACACCTCAACATAAAACAAAAATCCTCACAACTGGATCAGTAAGCAATGTTATGATAAATGGAGAAAAGATTGAAGTTGTCAAGGATTTCATTTTACTTGGACACACAATCAGCGCCCATGGAAGAAGTCAGGAAATCAAAGTGATGCATTGCATTGGACAAATCTGCTGCAAAACACCTCTTTAAAGTGTTAAAAAACAAAGACGTCACTTTAAGGACTAAGGTGTGCCTGACCCAAGCCATGGTGTTTTCAATCGCCTCATGTACATGTGAAAACTGGACAGCGAATAAAGAAGACTGAAGAATTGATGCCTTTGAATTATGGTGTTGGCATATAATATTGAATATACCGTGGACTGCCAGAAGAACAAACAAATTTGTCTTGGAAGAAGTACAGCCAGAATGCTCCTCAGAGGCAAGGGTGGCGAGATATTGTCTCACATACTTTCGACACGTTATCAGGAGGGACCAGTCCCTGGAGAAGGACATCGTGCTTAGTAAAGTAGAGGGTCAGTGAAAAAGAGGAAGACCCTCAATGAGATAGATTGCCACAGTGGCTGCAACAATGGGCTCAAGCATAACAATGACTGTGAGGATAGCGCAGGACTGGGCAGGGGTTGCTATGAGTCAGAACCAACTCATTGGTACCTAATAACTACATCAGAGGCTGTCTGCACTCCTTGGCTTCTGACTTACTTCCATCTTCAAAGCCAACGATGGGTGGTTGAATCCTTCTTACTAATCACTTAGAGTCTTTTGTGGACTCTTGTGAGTCCATTGAGTCCACCTGAATAATCCAGGATAATCTCTCTATGGAAAGGTTAGCTGGCTGGTAATCTTAATTCCACCTGCAATCTTAAAGTTCCATCTGTACCTTAATTCCCCTTTGCCATGTAATGTATTCACATTCCCATGTTCTGGAGATTAGGACGTAGACAACTTTGAAATCCATTATTCCATCTACCATCATGGTCCTGCTCCAATTGCTGTTTCTTGGCTTCAAAGACTATTGGGTTCTTTTCTGTTTGTTTTCCATGTGCTTTTGTGGCAAGCTGTTTCTTTACCTCTTCCTTACCTCCTAATCATTGATATCTTCAGCCTGTACCTCCACCCAGACCCACCTCCTCATTCCAGTTGGCACCTTTGGCTTTTGCAAAAAAGTTTTAGGGGGAATGTCTTCTTCATCCTCCTTGTTCTTTATCCTTGCTGACGTCTTCCTTTTCATATTCCTGGCCTTTTTTAGCCAGGGTAGCTACTGCTTTTGCCATTGCTGTTTCATCGCTTTTTTTTTCCTCAAAAGTTATTTATTATAAAAAAATTATACAAACTGTCATTTTATTACTCAGAATTTAACATCATGAAAAATTTTAAACAATTTGTGTCTTTCCCCCAAAAAATGTACTCTGCTTTTACAGTCTTTGCTGGCAGTGTACTTTGATGGTATGGAAAATAACTCTCAAACATTCTATATAACTGTGTTAGTTTACAGAGATATGGTAGTAAAAGCAAGTGTCCCTACAGTGAAGTATAAAAAACATTTTTTTCTAATTTTTAAGTGTTACTAAAGTTGAATTACAGAGTAAATAGTAAATAAACACATACATATAATTTTTCAAGGCAAAGATTAGCAATATTTTTTCATCCTTCTTAAAACGTTTTTAAAAGCAAACTTGAAAATTTTTTAGTAACCTGAAACTTCATATGTCTATTGTACTTTGAAAAATGAAGCATAAAAAGCAGCATCATTTAAATAGTGGTTAACTCACAAAGTGTATGCAACAGCATAAAAGACCCGGGTAAGTTGTGTGGACCCTTGGCATTCCAACATTATATCACCAGTGTCCATAGCACAGTAGTTTGCCCAAACACAGTGGCAAATTCAGTATAACTTTTATAAAACCACCTCCTCCCCAAGTTTAGACATGTGAGAGAAATGTCCACGGATTTATCATCATCTTGATCTTCCTCCCAATCCTCATTGGCACCTCAGCCCTTCTTAACTGGGTGCAGTCTTCCTATTCTTTGTACCTTGTTGGCATGGCTCCCTTTGTGCCTGGTGTGGCTGCTACTATGGCTGGTGTGTCTGGTTGCTTGGAAGCGCGGTGCTGCTTTCATTTTGCTTGGGGTGACACCTGCTTTCTTGGCAGCTGCAGTCTTTTCTGCTGGAGAAACCACATCCTTTTTTCTTAGACTTGTGGTCAACTTCTTGCCTTTCTTCTAAATGAGGACAGCCTCATCCCATTGGCCATCTGCTTGTGATGGCGGAGTGGAGTGGTGGGTGAGTGGCTTGGGTGAGCCAAGAAGAAGCTGAGCAATGTTGATGTGAACTGTAGGTGCTGAGGATGGTGGTGTACGACTAGGAAAGAAATTATTCCTTAATGGTAGGGATTACTTACAAGTAAGGATAGAAATTGTTTGAACAATGTATCTAATTTTTGAATTTTAAATCTTTTCCAGTTTATTTTTGCATAAATTACCTTATACCAGCACAGTCTTAGCTTTTTCCTGATTGTTCTTGGCATTCCTTTGTTTTCCCTTTCTGTTATCTTGGTTCAGTGCTTATCAATCATGCCTTCGCCAGTTAGAATTCCTTGTTTTCCATTTGTTCCTCCTCTTTCCCCTCAGTGCATGCTATACCCACTGTCAGACTAGTCTTAAACGCTACTCGGATATCTTTAATATCTCTCATTACCCATAAAATGAAAATCATGTTCAGTGTTCAAAAGCAGTATAAAAACCAAATCCGTTGCTTTCGAGTTGATTCTGACTCGTAGTGGTCCTATAGGACAGAGTAGAACTGCCCCATAGGGTTTCCAAGGAGGGGCTGGTGGATTCAAATTGCCAGCCTTTTGGTTAGCAACTGAGCTCTTAACTGCTGCTACCCCAGGGCTCCAAAATAGAGCTGCTTTATTTTGGGTGGTAGCTTTCAAACTGTTTTTTTTTGTTTGGTTTGTTTATTGTAGTTTAAGGGAAAGTTTATATTTCAAGTTAGTTTCTCGTACAAAAATTTATACGTACGGTGTTATGTTACTCTAATTGCTGTCCCTATACTGTGACAACACACTCCTCCTTTCCACTCCTGATTTCCCATGTCCATTTAACCAGCTCCTAACCCTCTCTGCCTTCTCATCTCACCTCCGGACAGAAGCTGCCCATTTAGTCTCATGTATCTACTTGAGCTAAGAAGCACACTCTTCACAAGTATCATTTAATGTCCCACAGTCCAGTCCAATCTTTGTCTGAAGAGTTGGCCTTGGGAATCGCTTTAGTTCTGGGTTGACAGAGAGTCCGGGGGCCATGCTTTCCGGGGTTCCTCCAGTCTCAGTCAGACCATTAAGTCTAGTCTTTTTACTAGAATTTGAGTTCTGCACCCCACCTTTCTCCTGCTCTCTCAGGGACTCTCTTTTGTGTTCCCTGTCTGGTGGTCATTGGTGGTAGCCAGACACCATCTAGTTCTGGTCTCAAGCTGTCTCTGGTTTATGTGGCCCTTTCTGTCTCTTGGGCTAATACTTTCCTTGTGTCTTTGGTGTTCTTCATTCTCCTTTACTCCATTTGGTAGCTTTCAAACTTTTTGACTGTGACCTATAAGAAATAAATCAATTTTACATTGTGGCCCAGTATATACATACATGTGTACATACAAACAGGTAATCAAAATGGAAGTTTCACAGAATAGAAACTATTATGTAGAATGCAGTTATATATTTTCTGTTTCACAATAATTTGCTCCAATAACTCATTAATAGATTATCTGGAGTTTAAGAGTCCTTGATTCCACTTCCGTGAAGAGTTTAGGCATGTTTAGGGGATTCACACTGGCTCACAGAATTAGGAGGAAAGTACTTCTTGAAATTAGCATGAAAGATAAAATCACCTCACTCTCCTTAAAGTCTCCTAAATTACAAGTGAGAACCAAAGTGGATCCTCTAAAGGTGGCTTCAGGAAGGCCTGTGTCTCTGCCTCCCTCCGCCTTTCTACGCCTTACCTGTTCAAGATCCAACTTTTATCACACATCCTCCACAGAATCTCCCTCACTGCTCAGCCCTTATTCTGAATTCTTGCAGTGCTTTTCTATGTAATATATAGTAGTCATAATATACCACTTTCTATTATTTTTCATAGACATGCTCTGTCTCACCAACTAATGAATCCATTGACTGCAACTCAAAAATGTTTGATTATGAATTTTCCAAAATATAGTTTGAACAAATTCAGTGCATATCCTGACCTGGCTGATCTCCCTCTCCTTGCAGGCTTTGTGTTTGTACAGTAATATTTAATTTTCATAGAGGATGGTTGTAATTGAGTGTTAAGAGTTATACTTTCTGTCCCATTGGTTCATTTTATGTCGTTTATGTTATAACCAGATTGTGTCTAGAGATTCTAATTTGCAACAGTTTTAAGCCATGTAATTAAACTGACTAATATGTATTTTATCTTTTCAAGGGCTACAAAACTTTATAGAGGAAGCTTGATTGCACTCTGCGTTTCCAATATATTTTTCATACTTCCTTGGCAGTTTGCTCAGTTTGTACTTCTTACTCAGGTAATTTGATTATATTTTTAAAACTGATTTCAGCTTAGTGTGTTTAATTATGTGAACTCATTTGTATAAAATGATAGAACTAAGAGGTTATATGATTCTAAGCCCGAAAATGTTTTTAGTTCATACTTTTAAAGAAAGTTCAGAGTGGGGAAATATATAAGATTTATTTATTAACAGTATATTTACTTAAGAGTAGAACATATTTATTAAATTCACATTTGTAAGAATGCTTATCTGTGTTATTCAGAATTTGTTAGTGTGCTTAAAAGAGGACTAGTGCTCTAATTTTAAGTGTTTCTCTTAAATAAACTAGATAACAGGATAAAAAGCTGAAAAGTTCACGTATTGTGTAACTCCCCTGCCAATGTGCAGTTTTTCTGTCATGTCTCCCTGTGCCCTTCCTTCCTTTCAAACTGATATATAACGCAAGTAGCTTGAGAGTGAGACTAAATTGAGAATGTGTTCATTTTTTTCCATCTTGCCTGCTGTGCTGCTTTTCTGTTATGCTGGCCATATTCATATAATGCAATTTGAGTTGCTTTTTAATGTTCTTTGAAATGTTTTGCTTGGGAAGTGGAGTCAGACCTGGTTTTGAGTCCCAGCTTTGCTCACTGGCTTCTTGTACAAGGCTCTGAACTTTTCATAGCTTTAGTTTTCTCATTTATGAAATGGAGAAAATAAGAGAACCTTATTTTATTGGGTTATGGTTAGGATTAGATATGGTAATCTATATAAGACTCTTAACATGGTATCTGGTACTTAGCAAGATATCAGTCAGTAAAGTCAGCTGCTTTTATTACTGTTTTTAAAAAATAGACTCCATTTGTGCTTAACTTAGACTCCTTTGTCTTCTTTAGTTTGATGACATTTTACAGTTTCTAGTTTAAAACATCTCTAAGATCTTCTTAAAATTTTACCCATTTGGTGTGTCATGAATTATTTAGCCCCTGGGGTGAAAAGGGAGAGTTCTCCTTGCTTCCAGTTGAAGTGGGGAGGGCCTGGGTTTTTTGGTTTTTTTTTGGTTGGGGGGTGGGTTGGTAATGAGGCTGCCATGAGTCAGAATCAACCTAGATGGCCATGGGTTTAGTTTTTTGGTTTGGTAGAGAGAAGAGGTATTATGCCTCTCTCGGGGGTTTATGTTGAATAATAGCAACATATGCTTCCCCAGAGTTATTGTGTAATTTCCATTACCTTTATGCAATGTACTGTTCCCCATGGGTAACCCTAGGTAAAGGGAAATTGTTGTTTTTCTTACTAATGGGAAAGTTTGTGGTAGATTGCTTGGAGAAAAAATTTGATGAATGGAGCTTAAGTTGTACATTTAAGTATTCAGCTCTTTAGTGTGATGTTATAGGAGAGGCATGGAATTTAATTTGAATTGCTTTGTCCATGAGGAAGAACAGAGAGGCAAGGTATGGTATAATACCTCTGTATTTTATCAGAAGGTACATTGTCATCATTTTGTCTATTAATTCATCTAACTCTAATACTATTAGAATTCTTGCTAAATACATATACAGTTTTCTTCGAAACTGAAATTTAAAAACACGTTTGTGGTGAAAGTACTCCTCCTAATTTGAAATTGAATAAATTTGATTGTAATATAATGCTTGAATATCTGTATTAATGAATGAGAACAGAACATACCTGTAAAGAGTACTGACAAGCATAAATTAGTGTATTTTCATTCACACATGCATTATATAACTATTTTTGAGTTGAATGTACCTTCCTAATTGTGTATTAATTGTTACACGTTATAATTAAATTTTCAATTTTTGATGGGTCGAGGCAGTTTATAATTGACAGTGGAGTCAACGTTCCAGGACAATGACTGTTGTTTTGGATAACTCACAAAGTAGATGGTTGACAGTTAATTGACAGAGCTATGCATTGGAGAGAAAAATCAACCAATATTTGCTGTATTAATATGTTGATCATATTCAATAATAGATTGGTATATGACATGAAAACTCAATTTCTGTATAAAGTCAGTTTGAGACAATAGAAATAATATTTGCTTCATTTTTTATAGCTGCTTGTTTTATACATAATTTTTATTTTTAACTTAATTTCTTTTTAAATTTCAGATTGCGTCATTGTTTGCAGTATATGTTGTGGGGTATATTGATGTATGCAAATTACAGAAGATCATTTATATGCACATGGTAATGGTTTTCTCTGTGTTTTGTTTTAGACGTGTTAATATATATAACACTCTTAAGATGGTTATCAGGTACTTAGCATGATGTCAGTAAGTTTGGCTACTTTTATTTCTGTTATGATGCTAAACTCATGATTAATATTTGGTTTGTTCATGCTTGAAACTAGTTGTAACAGGATTCTATAACCAAAACAAATGTTGTTCAAAAATTCTGATATAATCAACTGACCGTTTTAAATAGGCCACCCAGAAATTTTTAATCTTCATCATATAATCTGATATGCAATCGTGCATTGAATATACGTTATAAGTAAAAGAGATAATTGGCGAAAGAGAAAAATAGAATGGTGTCTTATCCAGGAGCTTTCTGTTAAAATGAAGTGGAATGCTCATTCCTTGAGCTCCGGCTATCCAGGGAAGTGGGATACACCAGTGAGTAGAGCTACAAAGATCCCAGCGCTCATGGAGCTTATATTCTAGTGGAGTGGGGGAAGAAAGACAGGACAAATAATAATAAACATAGGGAGTGGGTAAGTTATATGGTATGTTGATGATAAGAAGAACTATGGAAAAAAGAAAAGACAAAGTCAGGGTAAGACAGGTCAGGGAGTCGAAATCGACTCAAAGGCAGCTAACAACAACAAGCGTCAGGGGATGGGACATTAAGATATTACATGAGGTGCTCAGAGCAGGTCTTATCGAGAAGGGGAGATTGGAGCAAAGGTTGGAAGGAGGAGAAGTTAGCCAAGTGGGTATCTTGGAAAATAATGCCCTAAGTTGATGGAGTGACAGACCTAAGGCTGTTTGGTTGATGTTGATGAATCTTTATCCTTAAAGACATTTGCCTTCTCTTCATCATTGGTTTTTACAGTTTTGATGTTTTCCTTTTCCTATAATTTTTGTTTTTATAATATGCCATTATTTTTATTCTGCAATAATTGTTACGTATAAAAGGAGATTTACAATGTACAGGGAAATTATTAGCAAAATTAAAAAATGAATACCCAGGAGCCCAACCTACAACTTGAGAAATAGAACCTTATCATTCCTTTGAAGCCCTGTGTGCTCCGAACACACCCCTCACTTCTCCTAGAGGGAACCACTGTCCTGATTGTTTTTTATCGTAATTAAGTTGCTTTTCTTTATAACTTTACTACATATATATATTCATAAATAATATATATTTTTATTATTAAATACTGACATAGTTTTTAAGGTTTGTAAAAATGATATCATTTTGTGTGACTTATGTTTTCACTCAGGTTTGTGAGATTTGTATATTGACGGAGTTCAGGCATTTTCATTGCTTTCTATTTTCTGTTGTATAAATATAGCACAATTTATCCATTTTCTTATTGAAGGACATTTAGTTTCCTCCTTTTTTTCTTTTATGAATAGTGCTGTACATTCTTACACTTACTTCCTGGAGTACATAAATGAAGAGTTTCTCAAGGTTTATCTAGTAGTAGAATTTCTGGGTGGAAAATTCTGTACATGTCCAACTTCATAATTTAATATCAAATTGTTTTTCCAAAATGATTAGACCACTTCAGACAGCAATGTATATAACAGTTCACATTATTCTCCATCCTTTTTCATTTTGTCAGTCTGGTGAGTGTAAAGTAGTACCTTGTGATCTTAATTTATTTCGTATTCTCATTGAAGCCGAGCATCTTTTGGTATGTTTATGGGCCCTTTGTGCTTCCTTTTTTGTGCATGCTTATTCGTGGCTTTTACACATTTTTCTCTTGTGTAATATTATCTTTTTTTAAATTGAGTTGTCGTGCTTTCATGTATTTTAGATACGGCTTTGTCAGTTATGTATTGTAAATTGACTTGCTTTTCACTTTCTTTACAGTGTTTTAATGAAAAGACATTAACATGGTAAACATTATAGAACTCATCCTATATGGTAGTACTTTTCAATCCTTACTTAGAGACCATGAAGATGTTCTTCATGATTTTTTTCTAAAACTTAAAAGATTTTATTTTTTTATAAAATTTTATAATTTTTTTATAAAAGTTTTTCAAATTATTTGTTGGCTTTATTTCTAGGTATAAGTTTTTTGCTCTTATAAATAGTATTTTTAGTGAATTAAGTATTCTATTTGTTGCTGGTGTATAGAATACAATTGATTTTTGTACAGTGGTCTGATTTCTATCAATCTTGCTAAACTTTTATTCTAATAATTTTTCTGTAGATCCTCTGGGTTTTCTGAATAGTAATTCCATCTCTGCATAATTAGCTTTGTTTCTTCCTTCCCAATACTTATACCCCCTCTTCCTCAACTTAGTGTGCTGTATATGCGTCTAATACAGGATTGCATAGGAATCCTGATAATGGGCAATGTGATTTTTAAAGAAAATGTTTCTAGAGTTGCTAATAGATTTTTTGTAAGTCTTTGTTAAAGGAGATTCCCTTTTAATTCCTAGTTTGTGAAGAGGTTTTAGTTTAATTTTTTTTAATTTTGTTTTTCTGTTTTATTTTAAAATAATCTCAAACTTATAACCATTTTGCAAGTATCCTACAAAGAGCTTTTTCCCTGAGCATTTCTGAATAAGTTGCTGATCTGATGTACCATCACCCCTGAATAGTTTATATTTTCTATAAATGTAACCACAAGACTACCATTAAAATCATAAAATGAATCTGTAGTACTGTCTAGTATTCTAATTTCACTGATTGTCTCAGTAATGTCCTTTATAGCAAAGGAACCAGGTTAGAAGCAGACTTTTTTGAGTTGTCATGATTCTTTTGTCTCTTTCAGTCTAGAAGCATTTCCTCAGTTTTCCCTTGACTTTCACAACATTGACCTTTTTTAAGATTGCAGGCCAGCTATTTTCGTGGAATGACTTTCAGCTTGGGTTTGTCTGATGTTTCTTTATGATGATAGTCAAGCTGTCCATCACTGTGTGTTCTTCTCATTGCATTGTATCAGATAGCCTGAAGTTTTTTACTTGTGCCTCTACTGATTGTGATGACTTTGATCACTTGATTTGAGGTGGTGTCTGCCTTGTGTCTTCACTATAAAATTACTCTTTTTTTTTCTTTTATAATTAGTAAATATTTTATAGGGAGATACTTTGAGACTATGTAAAATCCCATTCCTCATCAAATTTTCTGTGTGTCATCTGTCCATCTCTGTATGGACTCATGGTTTCTGTTTTATTCAGTGCGGTATAATCCATTACTTTCATTATTAATTCTGATGCTTGAAATAGTCCAGATTTGACCAACTACTTGAGGCTGGCTTCTGTGCCCTTAAACATGTCTGCATCATCCTTTGAACACTTTTTAAAAGAAATAAATAAATGCTAAGTTTCATCAAATGCTTTTCTGCATCTGTTTAGATGATCTTGTGCTTTTTCCTCCTTCAGTCTGTTACTGCGGTCATTTACATTAATTGATTTTCCAGCATTAAGAAACTTTGCTTTTCTGGGCTAAATATAATTTTTATACATTGCTGGATTCAGGTTGCTATTGTTTTGTTAGGATTTTTGCAATTCTTTTCAGAAATGGTATTAGATAGTAATTATCCTTTCTTACTCTTGGCTTATTTTAATATCAGATTTATTCTAGCCTCTTAGAATTAACTGGAATGTGTGCCTGCTTTTTCTGTTCTGTGGTAAATGTTGTGTACGACTGGAAGGCCTGCTGCCTGAAAGTTCAGTATAACTTGCTTGTAAATATACATGGGCCTGTTTTTTTCCTTACGGAAAGATTTTAGATAACTGATCCACTTTATTTAATGATAACAGGACTATTCAGACTTATCCTTGAGTCATTTTTTGGTAACTTTTATTTTGCTAGAAATTTTCCCATTTCATCCAAGTTTTAAAATTCATTAACATGAAGTTGTTCACACCATTGTTTTTTTTTAAAAGAAATCTTACCAAAAATAGATACTGAAAAACATACAGATACTAAGAAAAATATCTGTAATAATCTCCTTATTCTGTACCTTCTAAGTTCTCAATTTTCTTAGTTTATTAATTTTCAAATTTTCTTCTTATTTAAATTCACTGATGTTTTGGGCACCAGTTGTTAAGCATTTTAAGAGCTGCTGAGGATATAGCGAGGATAAAAACAAACTCTCCCTCCCCTCCCTTTCACAGACCTTATATTTCTAGTGTATGTAGACAGAAATAAACTAAAAATGTAAAATAAAGAGTATGTCAGATGGTAGTAAGTAGTATTAACAAAAATAAAGCAGACAAGGAGGATGGGATTTTGCTGAGTAGGAGCAGAGGCTGCAATGTAAAATAGAGTGAGGAGGGAAGGCCTCACTGAAAAGGTGACATTGGAATAAAGAGAGATGCGAGAGTGCAGGGAGCCAGCCATTTGGGCTTCCTAGGCTGTTATCTTTATGGGAGCAGATTACCAGATCTTTTCTCCCACAGAGCCGCTGATAGGTTCAAACCACTGCCCTTTTGTTTAGCAGCTGAGTGCTTAACCATTGTGCCACCAGGCCTCCTTCATTTGACATTAGGACTTCTGTTAATATACTTCTTCATATTAGTAGGTTAAAAAAAAGATAAGCAACAGTCATTTCCTTTGATGCTATAAAGGCATTTGATAAGAGTCAGCATCTATTCCTATTGTTAAAACCTTAATCAAATAAAAATAGATGGATATTTTATTGATGTGCGTAAATTCACACAGACACACACACACACACACACACACACAGTTCTCAAACCAAAGCTATCATGCAGAATGATGAATCAACAGAACTCTTTCCACTAATTCCAGAAACATGACAGATATGCCTATTGCCACATTACTTAATATTGTTGCAGAAATATTAACTAATATAATTAATTTTAAAGCTTCAAAAATAAAGAAAATGTAAAGATATTATTTGCAAGTGATATGATTTTGGATACCTGAAAAACCCAAATTAATAAGCTGAAAACTGTTAGAAGTAATGAAAGAATGTATTCATTTATATATATTAAATATAGCTTTTCTGTATACAAACCAAAAGGTCAGTAGTTTGACTCCACCAGCCAATTCTTGGAAACCCTGTGTTGTTGTTAGGTGCTGTTAGGTCGGTTCTGACTCATATAGCAACCCCCTGTACAACAGAATGAAGTACTGCACCATCCTCACAGTCGTTGTTATGTTTGAAACCATTGTTGCAGTCACTATGTCAATCCATCTCATTAAGGGTCTTCCTCTTTTTCGCTGACCCTCTACTTTACCAAGCATGATGTCCTTCTCCAGGGACTGATCCCTCCTGACAACATGTCCAAAGTATGTAAGACGTAGCCTCGTCATCCTTGCTTCTAAGGAGCATTCTGGTCCTACTCCTTCCAAGACAGATGTGTTCGTTCTTTTGGCAGTCCATGGTATATTCAGTATTCTTCGCCAGCACCACAGTTCAAAGGCTTCATTTCTTCTTTGGCCTTCCTTACTCATCGTCCAGCTTTCACATGCATATGAGGCGATTGAAAATACCATGGCTTGGGTCAGGCACACCTTAATCTTCAAGGTGACATCTTTGCTTTTTATGGGGCAGTTTTGCTCTGTCGTGTTGGGTCGCTGTGAGTTGGAATCAGCTCGATGGCGATGGATTTGGGTTTTGGTTTATATATAATAATAATCAGTTAGAAAATATGATGAAAAAAATGTTCCTGATACAATAGCAAGAGAAATAATATGCTTTCGAATAAACTAAAGAAATATGCATGATCTGTGTGAAGAAAATTTTGCAACTCATCTAATGTTATGTAAAAGAAGGCTTAAAGAATTGCAATCTACACGTTTTCCTTTTGGATCTGGAGATTTAATATTGTACAGATGCAATTTTATAAACATAATGAAATATACATTATAGATATAATGTAATTTTAATAAAAATGCCAGGTTTTTGAAACTTTACAAATGGATTCTAAAATTCATATGAAAATTTGTATATATAGATCAGAAATAATACTTCTAGAAGAAAGTATGGATTATTTTATTTTTAAAATGTTTTTAATCATGGAGCTAAATCCTAAAGACCTAAAGGTAAAGAATGATAAATTTGACTAACATAAAAATAATAATAAAAATAAAATAAGAAACAATGCAGAAATACTATGAACAAAGATAAATAATAAACTGGGAAAAATATTTACATTTGCCTGACAAGGAGCTAGGTTCTATAATATATAATGTGCTCCTAAGAAAAGTAGTGAATCCCAGTAGAAAAGTGGCTGGTGATTAGAAGAAGCAATTCAGCACACATACACAAAACAGCATAATAGCAAATGTAAAAAAGAAACTGAGTCTCACTCACTATTAAAGGAATGGAAAAGTAAAACAATGAGGTAACATTTTTACCCTATTACATTGACAAATACTTGAAAGAATAATACATGAGTGTATGAGCCAACAGGGATTCTCATATGCCCTTTTGGTGGGAGGGTAAATTGGTACAATCTTTTTGTAATTTGCCAGTATTTTTTCAAATTTTAAAATGTATGTACCCTTTAATCCATTAATTTCACCGCTTGTACCTTATCCCATAAACGTGTTGACATGTACATAAAACCAGTAGCATTGAGTCTACTCCAACTCGTGGCGACCTCATGTATGTTAGAGTAGAACAGTGCCCCATAGTTTTCAGTGGCTGATATTTAGAAGTAGATCGCCAGTACTTTCTTCCATGGCACCTCTGGGTGGGCTCAACTTATCAGTTAGCAGCCGACTGCCTTAAACATTTACACCACCCTGGGTCTCTGACATGTACATAAGATGTACATACTAAGGATGCTTATCATAGCAGTGTTTGTAGTAGGAAAAACAAAAAACAAAACTGGCGACCACTTATGTGTCTAGTACTAGGCACAGGACAAGTTAAATAATTTATGGTCCAATTATTAAACAAAAAGAGTTAGATTGGTTTGGGCTGATATGGAAAGGTCTCTGAGACATATTATTAAGAATAAAGCAAGAAATAGTATAACTTATGTGATAATTTTCTATTTGTGTTTTTTAAAAATATATAAAACTAAAATTTATGCATGTTGCTTTCTGGAAAGTTGCCCAGGAAACTGTTGATGGTAGTTTTCTCTGGGGATTAAAGGTGTCAGATGGAAGGGAGTTCAGTGTTCACTGTGTATTCCCTTTTGTGCTATTTGAATTTTGTTTATAATGGGCATGTGACGTTTTCATAATAAAAATCATTGTGAATTTATGTGCATTAATCATATTTTTCTTGGATTTTTCCAGATTTCTCTTGCACTTTGTTTTGTTTTGATGTTTGGAAACTCAATGTTATTAACATCTTATTATGCTTCCTCTTTGGTAATTATCTGGGTAAGTGTTCCTTAAGCACAAGATTGTTTTTGAAACTAATAGTTCTTTATTACTGGTTTGGGATTCCTGGGGAATTTTCTACAGGAACTGTCTCAAGTGTCTTACTGGATACTTCTATATGTAATAGAATATTGCAAGTGTTCCCTTCTTAAACAGGAGAAAAATGCAAATACAGATTAAAATTGAAAAGCATAGCATTTTCCTTACCTTGTCCTTTCTTTATCTTTGCTCATCTTTTCAGTCACCTAAGTTTTGGTCCCAGAGTTCATTTTAGGGATGCCTCTATGCTCTCTTCATTCCCTTCCCCCCTCTTTTTGTCTCCAGTTTTTATTCTATTGCTGCTCTGCACTCTGATTCCCTTTTCCAACTCTGACATCCCCAGTGGCCCCTTCTTTTTGTTCTGTGATCAGAGGCCGTGACTATTTAGTATTTTTCCCCATGCCTGTATTATGGAATATTGATATGGGTTAAGTCAGATGGTGAATTCAGTTGTATTTGCTAAGTCACTACCAAGAACAGAGTTAGATTATGGGAGAACTGACTTACAGAGTTGGAACAAATGGTGCAAGGTCATCCAACTCCTTCTGCCACTTTTTGCAGGATGACTTTCCAGATATAAAAGCCTTCCTAAATTTGAAGACTTCCTGAGATGGTTTTGTCTTTTTTCAATGGGATTTATTGTTACAATGTTTTGCATACATAAGGGGGAAAGAAATGATTCCTTATATCTAAACTGCATGTGCTTTTAGGCCAGCTTTCTGAAGAAAAAAGCATTCTGCACTGTCCTAATCGAAATATATTCTACTTCTTGAATAATCATTTAAGTTACTCAGATCATTTTGGCTTTCTTGATTTCTAGAACCCATTAGCAAATCTGAGTTTGCCTGTTTCTTAGTCCCATTATACAAATAGCATTTATTTAATAACCCATTTCCTAAGAATATGCTAACAGTAAAGATATTTATTGTCCTCATTTCCGTTTTCACCAAAGAAGAAATTGTAGTTGTTTGGGATTCATTGTGTTTCTGGAAAGTCATACCTCAGTAAGAGAGAACAGATAGCCCTTGATTGCTTACTGCTCTAAACCAAAAAACAAACCCATTGCCGTCAAGTCGGATCCGACTCACAGAGACCGTGACGGACAGAGTAGAACTGCCCCAGAGGGTTTCCAAGGAGCCACTGGTGGATTCCAACTGCCGACCTTTTGGTTAGCAGCCGAGCTCTTAACCACTGTACCACCAGGGCTTCTGGTATGTCTAAAGTATGAATTAAACATATTTATATATATTTCATATATTTTGGCATGTAAAAATAAACGATGCCAATCAATAGTTATGGAATATAGCACGTTTATGCATATTTAATTATAAACATACATTTGAAGATATTTATAGTTATCACATCGAAACCTGAATCGTATCTCATTTTGTGTTTTCTGATGTTCAGAAACTTCTGAAAATATTTTTTTTGGGTTCAAGTATTTGTGTTTTGATCTCCAACCATATTTTTGCCAACTTTGAAGTAGATTTGGATCCCTATAAATAATACACTTTGAAGTCGATGCACCTGGAAAGACGTATAATTTCATAGAGAGAAGTATTTAGTCGATCCATGAAAATGTCATTTGTAGTTTTATTCTAAGAGTCAATATTTTTAGCTTAAGGAAAATCTTATGCCTGATGAAAGCTCTCTAATTGATTTCTTAGTTAAAAATCAGATATGTAAAATTTGTCATAGAAATTTACATATGGTAATTCTGTTTTCAACTTTAAAAAATTACTCACTGACCTATTCTACCCTGGATATAATAGGGCTATTTCTTGAAATCAGTGAACATAGAAATTAGCATTGATGCTACATGGAAGATCAACAGTGTGCTGAATTTTAGATTCCTGAGAGTCTTATTATTCATTTTTTGGTACTTGAATTTATGTCTGCAGGTATTAACTGTATAGCCTGTTATTTTCTTTATGCAGGCTGTGCTGGCAGTGAAACCACATTTGCTGAAAATAAATGTATCTGAACTTAGTTTATGGGTAAGAATCAATCTTTTAATACATAAGTTTTCCTTCTCTAAAGTATATCAGAGGTTTTAATGTTTTACTTTTAAGAAAATGATTTGTGTACTGCAGGGGATCTAACAATTTTATAATATATTGAGGCTCAATTTTAATGTGTCAAATTGCCCTTTTCATGAAGCAAGTTAAGATTAATATTTGGTGGGTAGTTAAAAAATTCCAGTTTTATTTATTTTATTACTCATGTTTCTTCTGAGGAGCAGTGTATGGGTAAGAAACTGTTAGTAAAAGAGGAATTTAACTGCAGTTGCTGTATAAATCTCCTATAAATATATATTAATTTGACAATAAGATTATACGTATATATTTTTATTTTTAGCTATTGCCGCTTAATTTTGGAACAACATTCTTTAATTTAAGATGCATTTTGGCACTTTCTCGTGAATATAGAGATACTTATTTCATGCATGATTAAAGCATTTGTTTTTTTTCCTCCTAGGCTATGTCTATGAAATGGGTCAAGTAGTGGAAATACCAAGTTATTTTTGTTTTGTCTTTTTTTTTTTTTTTTTCTTTTGTAGATTATCCAAGGATGTTTTTGGTTGTTTGGAACTATCATACTCAAGTATTTGACATCTAAAATCTTTGGCATTGCAGATGATGTAAGTGAATTTTTACTTATACTTCAAAGCCCTAGTAAAGAGTCAAACAGGCTAAGGATGAATTGTTTGAGTCCTTGAAGTACCACTATTTAAGCCAACTTCCAGGATGAAGTCTGTCCACCTGTTATTTTATCTGTTTAATATAAAGTAAATGTGACTATGGGTATAGTCACTCTTCTCTAAAACTAATTTCTTGACACAATTCTTTTGTTGACCCTTCTATATCACAAGGAAACTCTGGTGATGTAGTGTTTAAGAGCTATGGCCGCTGACCAAAAGGTTAGCAGTTCGAATCCACCAGGCGCTCCTTGGAAACTCTATAGGGCAGTTCTACTCTGACCTATTGGGTCACTAGCAGTCGGAATCGACTTGATGGCAATGGGATATATCACAAAATTTTAAAAATTTAAAGAAGAACACTCTAGAGATTTAAGCTTAAATTTTAGTCTAGACAACCATTTTTATCCAGCATCTTTATAGTTCACTTTTGAAAAAGATAAAGATGCCATCTTCAGAGCCTCTTAAACTGTAGATCAGATTATAATCCCATTATTCCCCAGTTTTCTGTTCAATGCTTGTATAGGGTTTATTTATAAGCTTTTTTAGGTAATAAAACAAACCAGACCAAACCCGTTGCCATCGAGTCGATTCCAACTCATAGCGACACTGTCAAACAGAGTAGAACTGCCCCATACAGTTTCCAAGGAGCACCTGGTAGTTTCAAACTGCTGACCTTTTGGTTAGCAGCCATAGCTCTTGACCACTACGCCACCAGGGTTTCCTTTACAGGTAATAGGAACTTCAAAAAGGCTTCATTCAGTCTTTGCCAATTTAATCCAAGTTGGTCTTATTCAGACATTTTTGTTTTTTCTTTTTTTGGTAGCAAGGTATGAGAGAAATGAGAATTTTGATTTGTAACTTTAATGATTGTTCATAGCTATAGTTGCTTTGCCTATTTTAATTGTTTAATCAACACATCCTAAGTCAGGAGGCTGTCAAAGATTTAATTAAAAAACAAAGGAGTACAACAACCAACAGGAAAACACTAAAGTAAACCACATATTTTTTTTCCTGTAATATATTTTTATTGGCTAATTAGGAAGTCCTAGGGCTTCCTGGGACTCCTACGTGGGTTCTGTCGGCTCCTCTCCCCGCTGTTAGCTCCTCTTTCACCCAGAGCCGCTGTGCTGTAATCTCTTACATATTGGACATGTGTATAGGCATTCATATGAACAGGGGATTTTTTGCTTAAAAAAAAAAAGTTTGAAATAAATTGGGCTATTATGTGGTTGGTCCACAACCTCTGGAGACATTTTTTATGAGTATTTGTTAATAGTTTAAAATGTTTTTATTTATTCATCCATTCAGTATGTACCTGCTGTATACCTGGCAGTGGAATGCATGCTAGGGATATAAAGCTGAGCAAGACAGGGGTCTAGTGGGAGATAGGAACAGTTCCTAGCAATTACCATGCAATAGAATGAAGGCTGTGATAAAATTAAGTACAGTCGGCCCTCCATATCTGCGGGTTCCACATCCGCGGATGCAACCAACCATGGATTGAAAATATCTGAGTTGGGGAGGATGGGGAATAAGAGCTCAAGGGCTTGGGAACAGTGAGGAGGGCAGCACAAGGCAAGACAGGGTTTGGCCTGAGGAAGGGTCTGTGACTGTGAAGGAAAACATGCCCAGGGGGATGGAGGCAGCTGCACCCCCACACAATTTGGACAAGTGAGGACACTAGGAATGGGGTTGCCTGGCCGAGGATCTGGCAGAGCGTGTTTGCTGCAGAGGTCTCTTCCCGAAGGAGAGAACAAAGTAGGCAGGCCCAGGACCTCGCACTCCCTGCACTGTGGATGTGCGAGCGTCCCAGGTCACCCAGGACCTCCTACCAAAAGGACCCCTGGCTTGGAGGGCAACCTGCGGCAGGAGGGCCCGGATGCAGCTGTCCTTCAGAGTGTCTGCTTTGATCCACCGCCTCACACGTCAGCCCTAACCTGGCTCGACCATCAGTATTCTACCTCAAAGCGAAACACTGTTCATTCTTCTGCTGTGTTTTTAAAAAAAAAAAAAAAAAAATCTGTGCTATTTTATATAAAGGACTTGAGCATCCGTGGATTTTGGTATCTGCGGGGTTTCTGGAACCAGTTCCCCACAGATACTGAGGGATATCTGTACAGAGTGCTACAGGAGTATGCAGGAAAGTCAGGGAATGTGTCATGGATTGAAGTGTGTCCCCCCAAAATATCTGTCAACTTGGCTAGGTCATGATTCCCAGTATTGTATGATTGTCTACCATTTTGTTATCTGATGCGATTTCCCTATGTGTTGTAAATCCTATCACTAGGATGTAATGAGATGGATTAGTGGCAGTTATATTGATGAGATCTACAAGATTAGATAGTGTCTTAAGCCAGTCTCTTTTGAGATATAAAAGAGAGAGACAGGGGGACCTCATACCACCAAGACAGCAGTGCCGGGAGCAGAGCAAGTCCTTTGGACCTAAGGTTCCTGTGTTGAGATGCTCCCAGACCAAGGGAAGACTGATGACAAGGACCTTCCTCCAAAGCCGACGGAAAGAGAAAGCCTTCCCCTGGAGCCGGCACTTTAAATTTGGACTTCTAGCCTATTGGACTGTGAGAAAATAAATTTCTTTTTGTTAAAGCTATCCACTTAGTGGTATTCCTGTTACAGCAGCACTAGATGACCACGAAAGAAGGCTTCTAGAAGTAATTAAGATGAGAGCTGAAAGGTGATTGAGTCATCCAGGTTGAGAGTGAGCAGGAAGAAAAGTGAAATATCGCAAGTTCCTGGTATATGGAACCTGCCTTCTCACTGGGGAAGACAAACCAGTTAAGCTATCAGTTAGCTTTAAGTGACCACCGTCTTTGTTGTCACAGCCTCATGTTATACCAGGACCATCAAAAGGGCTGTAGAAACAGTTACATCCAAATTAGAAATAATTTAGTTCATATTTAAATACTTGTAGGAATTTGTAACATTGATCCAAGGACATTAGCTCATAAACTCTTAATTTCAACATTGGCCAAAGGAAGAGAATGGCAAGGCCACCCAAGTCCTGAGAAGCATTTCCCCCCACCCGTCTCTACTGGGAAAATCAGACAGTCCTCAGTACACCCCAAATTTTCCATCCCTGCCCCTTTCAACAACCTTCCTGGGTAGAAGCCTGATGAGCCAGAAACTATTGCTAAAATATTTCCACTTTGCAAATTTTACTTACATGTAATTCTATCAGCAAAGATAGAATTTAAAGCTGGGGGCTTTAAAAAGCCACTTTGAAAACCAGTTGCTCTTTCAGCAGAGTGTAACATTTAAGATCATGGGCTCTTCTTTTTCTAGTTGTTAAGGCGAAATCTTAGATTACTGATTTGAGACTTTTCTAATACAGGTATTTAAAGTTCTTCATTTCTCTCTCTCAACACTGCTTTAGCTGCTTCTCATCAGTTTTGTTATATTTTGTTTTAGTTTTCACTCTGTTCCAAATATTTTCTAATTCCCCTGTAATTCTTTTTTAACCCATAGGTTATTTAGATGTATGCTGTTTAATTTCCAAATATTTGGGTATTGCCCGGATTTCTTCCTGTTTTTGGTTTCTAATTTGATTCTATTGTGTTTGGAGAACATACTTCAATATTTTTAAATTTATTAAGAACTTTCCATAGCCTGTCGTATCATCTAGCCTAAGGAGTGTTTCATGTGTGTTTGGAAAAAAAGTATTTTCTAGTGTTGTTCTATAAATGTCGTTTACATCAGATTGGTCAATAGTGTTTCTTAAGGCTTGTATACCCTTACTGAATTTTTCTGTAGTTGTTCTATCAATTATTGAGAACAGGATATTAAAATTCCTAACTATAATTGTTGAATTGTCTACTTTTAATTCTGTCAGGTTTTGCTTCGTTTATTTTGGAGCTCTGGTGTTAGGTGTATATACATTTATAATTGTTGCATCTTCTTTATGAAATGACCCTTTTGTCATTATGATGCTTCCTCTTTGTTTCTGGTAATGTCCTTGTAAAATCTCTGTTGTCTGGTATTAATATATATCCCAGCTCTTATGGTTACTGTTTGCATGGTATACTTTTTCCCATCCTTTTATTTTCAAGTTACTTGTTTTAGTGAATCTGAAGTGTGTCTCTGGTAGACAACCTACAGTTAAAAACCAAAACCAAACCAGTTGCCATTGAGTTGATTTTGAACTCATGGTGACCCCGTGTGTACAGAGTAGAGCTGCACTCCATAGGATTTTCATGGCTGTGACCTTTCAGAAGCAGATCTCCAGGGCTTACTTCCAAGGCACCTCTGGGTGGTTCAAACTGCCAGCCTTTCAGTTAGTAGTAGAGTGCTTAACCATTTGTACCCCCGGAGGCAGCAGAGTACTAGATTTTTCCCCACCTTGAATCCAATTTGAGCATCTGTTCTTTAACTAGTGAATTTAAGTTCTTTACTTAGATGATAATTATAATACTGGGACTTAATTTTCACCATTTAAAATTTTTTTTTCCAACTTTTGCTTGCTTTTTAGTTTCTTTTTTTCATTTTCATTGGACTGTGTTCTTAAGCTATTTAAAAAGTTATATACAGTAGTCACCCCTTATCCACGGGGACTACGTTCCAGGACCTCCTGTGGATGCCTGAAACCGAAGATAGTACCGAACCCTGTATACACTGCCATTTGTCCTATGCATCATACCTGTGATAAAGCTTAATCTATAAATTAGGTACAGTAAGAGATTAACAACAATAACTAATAATGAAATAGAACAGTTATAACAATATACTGTAATAAAAGTGAATGACGGAGCGGGACGGCGTGAGATTTCATCATGCTACGTACTCATTTGACATTTTCAAACCACGGTTGACTGTGGGTAGCTGAAACCACGGAAGGTGAAACGGCAAATATGGGTGGGTGCTACCATATTGTCCCTTTTGATTTCTTAATCTTGTCAAAATACATTTTTCCCGCAACAAGGTAATGTGTTTTAGAATTCTCCAGCACATTCCCACCACCTTTTCGTTCCCGCTCCCACCCCATCCTCCCAGTTCCTGCAGATATCATTTAAAATTTTAGTTATGGTTCGTCTTAGATATAATTTTCCCTCTCTTCTTTGGTCCTTTTTTTTTTTTATAATAAAGTAATAAACTTGAAAATTTGGCAATTATGTTATGTCTTGGAGCCATAGTTTTCTCAGTTTAAAAAAAAAGAATAATTCCCCTTCCTCATATGGCTTCCTGTAGGAAGTAAATGAGGTGATATAAGTGAGAGCACTTGGTAAAATATAAAGAATTGCATACAAGGTGATTTCAGTCAATTTAATTCAAGGTCTGTTCATCTCCTCCATTTTCAACATGTTTCTCCAGTCTCCTTTTCAGAAATCAGAATTAATATTTCTGTTTCTTTACTCCGTAGCCCTTTACCCCATGAGATTCGTAGACGTCTGTATGTGTTACCAAGCCCACGCCTCCCGAGAGGCTCCTACAAAGATGTCGCCCAGTACATTTCACCAGGTTTAGTACAATGAGTGGAAAATCCAAGGATAATAAAGTCCTTGGTATGTTGATGAGCGTGGAGGGTAGGATGGTGTCAGAGCTATTGCTTGTCAGCAGAAGGGAGAACTGTGAAGTTGGACAGTATGACACTTCGTGCTTTAACAACAGCATGCCCTGTATGGCAATAGTGGGCTCTATATTGTAGTGAAAACTATTTTTAGATCACATTAAGATTAAGATATGCATTATTACAATGTATGGCTTAATGTAATGGTACCTCATTTGATTTCATACTAGGCTCACATTGGCAACTTATTAACATCAAAATTCTTCAGTTACAAGGATTTTGATACTTTATTGTACACCTGTGCTGCAGAGTTTGACTTTATGGAAAAGGAGGTAAGATGTGATTTTAGTTTTCTTTCCTTATGTTTAAAAGTCTATTCATTTTTCATAAAGGATACTTCTGTTATTTCAGACTCTTTCCTTTGTGTTGTTACCTTGCTTTGAAGAAAAAGGAGAATCTGGCAGCTTAGAAGAAAATGTTCCTGTTTCCATTAGTGCAGCTTCCTGAAATGTACGGGCTTCTCTCATTTTGATAACGTAGAAGCATGCATTGAGGCTAGCAATAGTTCTTGGATGAGTAAACACAGAGGCATTTCAAGTTGTCTGTTTTCAAAGATAGGTATTAATTCAACCAAGCTCTCAAGCTCTTACATTGCCACTCATTTTGTTGTTCGATTGAGTTCATCACTTTAAAAATATGATTGAGTACGAGTTTTTCATTCCAACATTTTTCTTTCTAGAACTGTACTCAGATGTTTAGAAGGAAACAAGTGTTTAGTGGACTGTGAGACAGAAGCCTTAAATATTATGGGATGTTCTCGAGCAAGTGAGCCTCATCCTTTGTGTCATAGTTTACTGGTTTCCAGCAGTGTGCTACAGACATTGTCGAGACAAAATGAGATAATGCATAGGAAAGTGCTTTGATCTTTTAATAATATTTTACATAAAGTAAAATTATTTTGAAATACTTTATGAACTAGTTTGGTTGAACAAACGTACATGTGTGGCTTTTTTACCACCACCCATGCGGAGCTGGTTTATTATGACATTATTTGTAAAACTTCGTTCAGTAGTATATATGTATTAAACTGGCCCGTGGTACTCTGTAGACATGTACTCATCCTCCCCCCGGGGGCCCAGTGAGAGCGAGCCCAGTGTCCACAGACCAGTGGACGCAACTGCGTCACACGGCCAGCTCTCAGCCGCGAGTATTCAGAGTTGATTGTCTCCTGCACATGTACCATTTTCTCCAGTGACCTATCAGTCTTCATTGATTTTGTGTTCTGCCAAATGGTTTTGACACATAATGGCTGATAAAGGTGTAGGAATGATTAGGACTTAGAGAAAGGTCATTAACTTTATTGAGGAGGTCGTAAATGCCAGTACCACCTGAAAGTTTTAACCATCAGGGATGTGATGGAAGAGGTTATTTATCAAGGCATAGCGTGACCTCAGTGAATTTGAAGAACACCGTAAAGCTCTTTCCAGCATATGATTCCCCATTTGTGTTGTAGGTACACAGTGTCAGTTCAGGGAGAATGCCCCTTGGATGGTTTGGTCATACAGTGGGGAAGGGGGACAATTTAACATCATGTCGTACTGACGTAGAAAGATCCTCGAGATGTATAATGGGGTGAACAAATGGTTTGATCTCATTTAAGTGCAGTAAACATGCATAGAGTAAAGTGTAAGAAAGCAAAACTTTTTAACAGTGGTTTTTGGGTGGAGAGATAATTGGTGATTAACTTTTTTCGTAACTTGCATTTTCTAAAATTTTTTATAGTGATCATATATTTAAATTTTGTTATTAAAAGGAAGTAAACCAGTGAAAAGGATCTTTCCCTTTTAAATATGAAAATAGATAGCAACAATATTTACAGTACAGAGATACCAAGACAAGAATGTTTTTATGACAGAAAATAGACCATGTGGGATAGACCCATGTGCATGTACTTACCCATGTGTATGTGTACATACTTAATATGGAATGAAGAAAGCACCACAGATAAATGGGAGAAGATGTATCATTTAATGAATAGTATTATTGAAATTTGGTATATGATGGGAAGTCAGGTTAAAGTTGTATAACATTATATACCAAACTTCATTTCAATTAATGTGTTAAAAAGAAATGAAGCCTGAAAAATATTTTGGAAAGACATTTGCATGGATATTAACTTCATCTCTGGGCATAATACTAGTGGAAGAGCTCGTACGAGAATGATGAGTAGATTTGTCTGCATCTGTACGTTAAATATTTTTAAAAATTTGAGGGCGAATGACTCACTGGAATAATTCTGGCCATAAATATAATAAATGAGACTAGAGTTTAATGTGGTTATAATAGGAGCTTGTCCAAATCAATAAAAAAAATAAATACCAAGAACTCTCAACCCCTTCCCATCAGACACATCCCGCGTGCACACACATAAGTAGAAATCACTGAAGGACGTTGATAGACGATCTATCGGAGAGGAAATGTTGATAACTGATTAAAATGTGAAATTGTCATCTTTATTTTTTCTGCGTTTTCTAAGCTTTTACAATAAGCGTATATAACTTTCACACTTAGAGGAACATTAACGGTTTTTAAGAAATGATAAAAGCGTTTGTAATTGTAATAGAACATACACACGCACATACCCACACACTTGTCTTTCACTGTGTGGTTTGTTACCTTTGCGTATTCTCTCACATGCCTGTATTCTCTCTGGTATATCTTTTGATATTTAGGAAGTTTTATCATTTTGTTCTAAATGTTACTTCTTCGTTAATACCTTTATATAATATTCTTACCCCTTCTAGTCATCTTCCTACTGAGAGTAATACTGAACTTACCTAGTAACCTCTTGCGCCTTCCCTACTTCCCACCTGATTCTAATTTATTGCAATACTGTAATCAGTGAATGGAGCCCTGGTAGCACAGTAGTTAAGAGCTCAGGCTGCTAACCAAAAGGTCAGCAGTTCAAATCCGCCAGCTGATCCTTGGAAACCCTATAGGGCACTTTTAATCTGTCTTATAGGGTTGCTGTGAGTCAGAATCAACTCAATGGCAATGAGTTTTATAATCAGTGAGGGAGTCCCTGCACTTGACTGCTAACCGAAAGGTTGGAGGTTTTGAGTCCACCCAGAGGTACCTCAGAAGAAAGGCCTGGCAGTCTACTTCCAAAAAATCAGCCATTGAAAACCCTATGGAGCACAGTTCTATTCTGACACACATGGGGCCACCGTGAGTCAGAGTCTACTCAATGGCAACTTTTTTTTTTTTTTAATCATTGAGATTATTGCACTTCCTATATACTCTGCCCCTCCTCCCCCATGTTTTAATAGTTCCATTGTATCTTCCTTGCCAGCACATATAACCACTCATACTATTCTGTCACCTTTATTTCCATCATTAAGTCATAATTCTGTAGGTAAATTTTTTTTTTTTTTTTAAATACTCACTTCCATTTTTGAGTTGAAGCCCCTCCTGTCATTTCTTGGTTGTGTGAAGCTTGCTCTCCAGTGGATTCCTCAAAAAGGGCTCATGGGAGCAATAATCTCTGAGTTTTTACATGTTCAAAATATCTTACCTATTGGGCTTTATACACAAAGGTCAGTTTGGCGAGAAGTAACATCTTTGGCCCGTGTGTCTTTCCTTGAGTATCTTAAATATGTTACTCCAGTGTCTTCTGGCCTGAGGTGTTGCTGTCAAAGTCTGATGCTAATCTTATTTTCTATTAAACACATATACTAAAAAATACATTTTAAAATGTTTTTTGAATACGATTTAAAAAAATTTTTTTGAAGACTGTGTTAAATTTTGTTAAATACTTTAACACAATTTTGACATATTGAAATTTAAGGCACACTTATGTTTTACCTTGTTCTTACATTTATCGTTATTTGTTATTAGAAAAATGTTCAATTATTTGATAATATAGTTTTAGTTACATTGTTTTTTGCTTAGATTCAGTCATAATTTAAAATTTACAAAGTAGAAAGGATTATATTTTTAATATTAATTACCATGCAAGTATTTATAAAGGTAAATAGTAAAATGAAAAAGTAAAACTTCTCTTTTTAATGGAATTTCTAACTGTCTAAAGTATGCAGTGTGTATAATAAGTTATCAGAATTACTCATCTAATATGGAATAAGGAGCCCTGGTGGTGCAATAGTTAAGCACTCAGCTGTTAACCAAAAGGTTGGCAGTTTTAATCCACTTAGCACAGGACAAAGTCCCTGCTCCCATAAAGATTACAGTCTAGAAACCGTGTGGGGCAGTTCTGTTCTGCCAAAGAGGTCGCTATAAGTCGAAAACAACAGCACCCGACAACAGCAGAGTTTATTGTTGTTAGATACCTTCAAGTCAGGGCCGACTCACAGAGACCCTGTGTACGACGGAACAAAACACTGCTGGGTCCTGCATCATCCTCACAATAGTTGCTATGTTCGAGCCCATTGTCGCAGCCACTGTGTCAGTCCATCTCATTGAGGGTTTTCCTCTTTTTGATGACCCTCTACTTTAGCGAACATGATTGTCCTTCTAGGGACTAATCCCCCTGTTAACATGTCCAAAGTACGTAAGACGAAGTCTTGCCATCCTTGCTTCTGAGGAGCATTCTGGCTGTACTTCTTCCAAGACAGATTAGTTCATTCTTCTGGTAGTCCATGGTGCATTCAGTATTCTTCGTCAACACCACAATTCAAAGGAGTCAGTTCTTCTTCGGTCTTCTTTATTCATTGCCCGCCTTTCACATGCATATGAGGCTATTGAAAATACCATGGCTTAGGTCAGTGGTTAAGAACTGTGGTGAGCCATCGCTGCTAACCAAAAAAGGTCAGCAGTTCGAATCCACCAGCTGCTCCTTGGAAACCCTGTGGGGCAGTTCTGCTCTGTCCTATTGGGTCGCTATGAGTTGGAATCAACTTGACAGCAGTGGGTTTGGTGGTGTTTTTTTTTTAGGTCAAGCACACCTTAGTCCTCAAAGTGACATATTGCCCAATGCAGTATGTCATTTGATTTCTTGACTACCCTTCCATGGTCGTTGATTGTGGATTCAAGTAAAATGAAATCCTTTACAACTTCAGTATTTTCTCTGTTTATCATGATGTTGCTTATTGGTCCATTTGTGAGGATTTTTGTTTTCTTTATGTGAGGTGTAATCCATACTGAAGGCTGTAGTCTTTGCTCTTCATCAGTAGGTTCTTCAAGTCCTCTTCACTTTTAGCAAGCAAGGTTGTGTCATCTGTGTATAGCAGGTTGTTAATGAGTGTTCCTTCAATCCTTTGCCATGTTCTTCATTTAGTCTAGCTTCTCTGATTATTTGCTCAGCATACAGACTGAATAAGTATGGTGAAAGGATACAACCCTGACACACACCTTTCCTGATTTTAAACCATGCAGTATCCCCTTGTTCTGTTTGAATGACTGCGTCTTGATCTATGTACGGGTTCCACATGAGCACAAATAAGTATTCAGAAATTCCTTTTCTTCACAATGTCATCCGTAATTTGTTATGATCCATGCAGTCAAGTACCTCTGCACAGTACACAGGTAAACATCTTTCTCGTACTCTTTGCTTTCAGCCAAGATCCATCTGACATCAGTAGTGATATCCCTTGTTCCACGTCCTCTTCTGAATCCGGCTTGAATTTCTGGCAGTTCTCTGTTGATGTACTGCCACGACTGTTTTTGAATGATTCCAGCAAAATTTTATTTGTGTATGATACTAATGATGTTGTTCGATATTTTCTTCACTCTATTGGATCACCTTTCTTTGGAATGGGCACAAATATGGATCTCTTCCAGTTAGTTGGCCAGGTAGCTGTCTTCCAAATTTCTTGACATAGACAAGTTAGTGCCCCCAGCATTGCATCAGTTTGTTGAAACATCTCAATTGGTGTTCCGTCAATTCCCAGAGCCTTGTTTTTTGCCAGTGCCTTCAGTGCAGCTTGGACTTTTTCCTTCATTAGAGCGCTTCCTGTAATGGTTGAACATTGACCAGTTCTTTTTGGTACAGTGACTTTGTGTATTCCTTTCATCTTCTTTTGATGCTTCCTGTGTTGTTCAGTTTTTTGCCCATAGAATCCTTCAGTATTGCAACTCAGGGCTTGAATTTTTTCTTCAGTTCTTTCAGCTTGAGAAATGCCAAACGTGTTCTTCCCTTTTGGTTTTCTAACTCCAGATATTTGCACATTTCATTATAATACTGTACTGTGTCATCTTAAGCTGCCTTTTGAAATCTTCTGTTCAGCTCTTTTCCTTCATCATTTCTTTCATTCGCTTTAGCTATTCTACTTTCAAGAGCAAGTTTCAGAGTCTCTTCTGACATCCATTTTGGTCTTTTCTTTCTTTCCTAGCTTTTTAACCCAACAACAACAGCAGAGTTTTGGGAAGAATAATATTATCTAAAGATTCTTTTTTTTGGCCACTAGCTTTAAGGAGCCCTGGTGATATAATGAATAAGCACTTGGCTACTAACCGAAAGATTGGACAGTTCGAACCCACCAAGTGGCTCTACTGGAGAAAGGCCTGGCTGACAGTCTGCTCCCGAAAAGATGACAGTGTAGAAAACCCTATGGGGACATTCTCCTCTGTCACATGGGATCGATCGCTATAAGTTGGAATCAACTTGACAGCACCCAAGGACAACAATATGGAATAGTGAGTGAGAAAATCAGAGTAATGAAAAAATTAGAAAATGCTCCTTACTATATAGTTTGTAAAATTAAGAAATACCAGTATTTTTGATGTGGGTGAGACTAAAAACCAAAACCAAACCCACTGCCATCAGGTCGATTCTGACTCATAGTGACCCTGTAGGAGAGAGTAGAACTGCCCCCATAGGGCTTTCAAGGCTGTCAGTTTTTATGGAAGCAGACTGCCACATCTTTCTCCCATAAAGTGGCTGGTGGGTTCAAACCATTGAACTTTTGGTTAGTCCAGCCCACTGCTGCTGAGTGGATTCCAACTCATAGCGACCCTATAGGACAGAGTAGAACTGCCCCATAGAGTTTCCGAGGAGCACTTGGTGGATTCGAACTGCTGACCTTTTGGTTAGCGGATGTAGCTCTTAACCACTGTGCCACCAGGGTTTCCAGCAGAGCACTTAACCACTGCGCCACCAGAACTCTTGTGGTTGAGACTAGGTGTCTCTTTATAAAAGTGTTTAGAAAGGCAGACAGTATTTGACAGTATATATATATATTT